AAAAAAGAGAAAGAGGGAAAGAAAGGCTCCGGTGGGAGGCCCCCCTTTCCCTTTCTGCTGCTCCACTCTCAAAAGGGGAAGAAAAAAAGGCTTAAGGAGGGCGAGGCTGGAACTGGGGGTCTCGGTTGGCACACAGCCCAATGCTCCTCCACTCAGATCTTGTGGGGCTGTGGGCTGTGGGCCAGCCGAGATCCCCAGTTCCAGCCTTGAGAGTGGAGCAGGAAAAGAGAGGGATTTGCTTTGGATCTCTAAAACGAAGTGGGTTGGAGGCGAGGAAACCTTGGCCAGCCAGCCTTGGTTCTCTGCGCGGAACAGGCGGCGCTGCGGCCTCGCCCACGCGAGTTTCTGCCGCTGCAGTGGAGCTCTGCACCAGTTCCTCCGGTGGCGCGTCACTTGATCCTCCCCTCCCCGCGTGGGAGCCGGTCTGTCCCTCTGGCTGGCATTGGCAGCGTGACAGAAGAAGGACCGTGACTTTCCCGCGACGCCTCCCAAAGGGAACTCCCAAGGCCCACGGAAGAAACCCAACGACTCGGGAGTGACCCCACTGAATAACGGGAGATTAGAGCGCGGCACTTAAATTCTCAACTGGGCCTTCCCCGATCTATTAGGCCTTCCCCAGATACAGACTACAAGCCCCATCGAGCTGCAAATTGGAATGATGGGAGTTGTAGTCCAACACATTTTGGACCAAGTCATTGTGGCCTAGGTGTTTGAATGATGGACTATGACTCTGGAGATCAGGGTTCGAGTCCCCGCTCGGCTATGAAACCCACTGGGTGACCTTGGGCAAGTCACATGCTCTCAGCCTCAGGGGAAGACAATGGCAAACCTCTTCTGAACCAATCTTGCCAAGAAAACTCCATGATAGTGTCTTAGTGTCGCCATAGGTTGGAAATGACTTGACACGTGAAGGCACACAACACACACACACACACACACAGAGGGGACGTTACCTTAATACGTTTACACTGGAAAGCCAGTGTGGGGTAGGTATTTGGGTGTTGGACTAGGACTCTGAAATAGCATAACTGATACCGCACTTGGCCATGGAAACCTCAGGGTGAATGTGAGAGCAAGTCACACTCTCTCGGCCTCAGAAAACAGCAATAGCAAACATTGTCTGAATAATGATATTTATTCAGATAAAACACTGGCGCAGGGCCCCCTTCGGGATTACTGGAAGGCACATGACAACAAGAAAAGCCCCAGCACTTGTTAACATCACATTTCTGACTATAGAAGTGTGGTCGGTATAGTAAAAACTAAAACAAAAGAAAAAAGCCTTCAGCCATGCAAGCCTCCCCTCGAAAGGCTGGCTGGGACCCGAGCTTTTTTTCCCTGACCAGGGCCTCCCTCCCCAGATGCAGGAGAAGGGGCCTGTAGTCCAGGAAAGCTCGGGTGCGAAGGAAAGGGCCTCTCTTTCAAGTGTCATCATAGGGCTCTTCTTTGTTTTTGCCTTTTCCTAGCATCCCAGGAGACTTGGCTTATGCAGAGGAAAACTCGGGAGGTGGCTGTCTTTAAAGGGCCTTTGCAGACTGCCAGAAATAGTGCAAATTGAGTCCACTTTAAGGGTTAGGGTTAGGGAATCATGGGAACTGTAGTTTATTGTGGCACCAGAGCTCTCTGACAGAGAAGGCTCACTGTCTCAGAAAAAAATACAATTTCCATAATTCCCTAGTACTGAGCCAGGACAATTAAAGTGGACTCAATTTGCACTATTTCTGGCAGTCTGCAAAGGCTCTTTGCTTCAGAGCCAGCATGTTTTACTTAGGTCCCCATCCTTACCCTAACTATGGGAGGACTTCTGGAGTTGGCTGAATACTGTGGGAAGGGGTTGAAGGCCCCCTTAGCTCACTCTCTCTGTGTTGTGTGCCTTCAGGTCCTTTCCAATTCATGGCGACCCTAAGGCTACCTATCATGCCCCCCCCATGGCCAGATTAGTTCAGAGGAGGTTCTCCATCGCCTCTCCCTGAGGCTGAGAGACTTGACCAAGACCACTCTGTGGGTGTCATGGCCGAGCTGGGGTCTGAACCCTGGTTTCTAGAGTCACAGTCCAACATTCAAACCACTTATTAGGCAAGCCCTCTTTTCAGCCTCTGTAGCCTGAAGACCATCAGAACATGAACTGACCTTCCAGGCAACAAGTATATTGTGCACTTTGGCTGGCCAAGAAAGGTATCACTGTTTGGTGTATTTTTCTTTGAATTTGCTAAATGGCCAACACAACTACTCCTGAAGGCCATGACTACTGTAGTGGTCATCTAGCAAAGAGTCAGTTGAGATTGTTTCACAAGGGAATGATTGTATTGGGAGGCACTTTTTCAATCTTTGGTCATTTCCACAGATGCGCATTCCCACCCCTGTGCAGCAAATAATTAGCACCCACAGTTCATATATCTGCATATGCTTTGCAAGGCAGACCTTCTTGATAAGATCTTGATTTCTGACCCCACCATTTCCAAAACACAGCTACCCCTGCCAGTGACCTTCCAGGAGGTGTCCTTCTCACCCCACAGCGCTGTCTATGCAGTACATGCATTCTGGCCATGAGGCTTGCAGCCCCCAAAAGGAAGGGCCTTTCCAGAACTGGGGGGTAACAATAACAACAACAACAACAACAACAACAACTATTATTATTATTATTAT